CCCCCCCCCCCCCCCTCCCGAAGAAAATGAAGTTTTGTTTTTCTATAAAATTTTCATGCAGTATTTCAGTAGCAGAGAAACTTATGAACGCGCATGAAAATTCCGACAGCCTCTGATAAACAGTTTTGCAGATAAAAATAGTTTGTTAAAACACCACACTGTTGCTATAACAGTATTACTCAGTATAATTATACTCTGAGAGACACTCTCCATTTAGCCTGTTTTCACATACGGCACAGTGTCTTTCAGTTTACTAACGTTTTCTTCACATCAGTAAACAATGACAATATTTTCAATAGCACACATCAATATCATTTCTGTATTAAACTATCTTATTCTATTAGTTTTCCACTGCAGCTGAATTAATATGGCGAACATAAATAGGCTCACACATTTCCTTTTGCTTAGGAAGTTCAATCATTCTCTAAGATTTGTAACAACAGTTGATACATACATACAAATAAACATACCTCAGACAACGGACAAGGCCCAACATAATTCTGGAAGAGAAACCTAAATTCTTCAGTTCCTTGTAAACAGAATGAAACAGTTACTTGTGGAATTTTGGTTCTGTAGGTGGTTTTTGTGAAACATATTACCTCCATCTTCAGGGTAGAGCACTTACTCCAACTCTGAAGTGTAAGAAAAATGTTTCTAAAGGAGGGGGGGGGCAACAACCTACAAGAAACCACACTGAATTTTTCAACTCCGAGAGGACATAACATTTCACACAGTAGACATCTGTCTGGAGGCAACGAAATACAGTCTGAACTCACTCTTATCTTGATGATGCAAGTGATATTCCTTGGAAATATAACCAAATCTCAGAAGCTACAAAAGCACTACCAACCTGAGCCTGAGGTTGTAGGTCTCCAAGGTTTACTGCCTGGACCTGTTGAGAGCCCACCTACACTATTGCCTTCAGTGGGTCTAGCAATGGGATTGGAAGGCAATGACACCTTGCTGGCTGAGGCAGAGGGAGTCTTGATGCTAGAAGCTTTCTGATTAGGAGGTGGTTTTGGTGGCTTGATCCTAATGCTTGGCACTGTGGGGCTGGATACTACTGGTGTTGAAGCAGGAGATACCACATTCATTTTAGCCGGAGGCTGTGCAGCAGTAACTTTCTGTGTGCTGGGTGTTGTGTTCGTCTGCATCCTCACACTGCTGCTGCGAGAGTTCACAGTTGACCGGGTCTGGATGGCTGGTGCCTATAACGTGACATGAGTATTTTAAACACTATGCAAACTTGTTTACTTTTAACCCTTCAAATACTGATAATATACACTGCCTGTACAATACCTAATACATTTATAAACAATTTCTTTATGCTGAATATGTCCATTTATTTATACCCAGCAAGTTTTACATCCACATAAATAAAACATGATGTAGAAAAACCTCTAAAAACATGTAAATCTCTTTAAGTTTTAAAACCCACAATAGGCAGACTTCTTGACATGATGTTTTTGAAGACAGAACCATATAGCTGGAAGATAAAATAATGTTGCATACAAGAGATAACAGTACTTTTGACATATCAAAACAAATATTAATACTTCACAAAGTCAATTATATCACGAAATACAACATTTCAAAATATAAGCATTCTACTACAATAACTCTATACTATAATTATACTCAATACTCTTTTCAGAATTTATACTTGCTCTAATTCATAATGTGTATTGGTTAAGAGAAATAAAACATGAGAAACATACACTACTCACGAATGTAGGTGTTTTAGCGAGACTTGTAGTATTCTGGATAACTGGTGTGCCTGAAACAGACACCAATAAATTATTATGCCTGATCTGGAAAACAGCAAAATCTGCAAGTGATCTGAATCCTAATCAACCAATAATACACATCAAAGGATGAATGGATACTACTGACAAGCATGCTTAAAAACTGAAAACATGAGAATAGTTAATTTTGTCTGAGGCAGCAAAATGTGTAGGTATCTGAATGTTGATGGAAATGACACTGCTGTACACATGGAATTTGATTCATAAAACCAAAGACAGCATTGGCTTTCTGCCAGCACAAAGATGTTAGTGCTGCAAAGGCCAGGAAACAAAATCATGCATGTGGCTATAAAACTTGGATTTCTGAATACATTAAAGATGTCATTTCATTAGTGCAACTGCTCAATTCATAAAATCTCACTAACTGTAATTGATTAACTTATCTTAAAAAGCCCTGTAGAAGAGACTTATTCATAAACCAAATACTACACAAACTTGATTAATCTCATGAAGTTTTCGTCATTGACAACACTGCTATTAGCTCTCAAAATTAGATTCAAATCCTGCCTAGATTACAGATGTTTGTGTGTATTTCTCTTCCTCACCATCAGAATACATCCCCCACCCCAAAAGCAAAATTATTTTGGCTGAAGAATATGATATGGAATTCCCAGAACTCAGCAACTCCAGGAGAAATGCTTGGATAATGATTTGTAATTTTGAAACTTTCTTTTTCCTCTTTCTAGTAGAATGTTTAATTATATAAGCAATCCAAGTCTGCAGAAAAGATAAAATAAATAGCTTGCAAAAACAAGCCAAAATTACCCATGAGACATGTACTGCAATACAGGTGATTATAAAATACATTTACAGTGAGCACCAATCGTAACTCAAATGTACAGCTACAACTAAATAACTCATGGAGAGAACACTGATCTACCACACCAAACACACCTGGTGTGGTCTGCGGTGACGTGACAGTGCCCACAATAAGTCCGAGCCGTGGGTCCATCACCAGCTGGTAGGTACCCGGTGTGTGCAGAGTACTTCCAGTAGATGCTCTTGTCATAACCCCTTGTGCCTGAGGTGAACCCTATAAACAGAACTTCCTGTTGCCAATTTTGTACAAAGTCAACTGAATTATTCTAAAGTTACTAATTATTATGGTCTCAACTGGTTTACGTTCATACTACTATACAAAGCTGGTCAAATTGCAACATTTGCAGATTCTAAGAAATATGGACATAACATGCACAATTTAAGACACACACACACAGACTAAATGAAAGAAAAAATTACCTTCACACAAAACCGTGAAAAGATGACATTAATATATGACAGACCAACACCCCAGAACAGGTGTTTGAACCTTTCCCACACCCATGACCACATTCATTCTTGCTTGTGGGCTGCAAGGTTACAAATAAGTAGGTTTCTTAACTTCATGGTTATTTATTATGCTCCTAACTCACTACTACAAGCAGGTTCACACATTACTCAATAGTTTTATTTAATAAAACCAGTCATTCAGTAAGATACGTGACACTGCATTTGATTTAGTAATCATTCAGTACCATGTTTAACTTCCAAGAGGTTTCCCATGAAAATTCATTATGCAATACTAACCCCATCACAGATAAATGCCAGTCCATTACAGAATCTTTTTATTTCACTTCCTGAGAATACTATATGCAACCTGAATAAAATCATGGAATTCCACATTAAAACTGCCCCCTTACATCATTATCATCATCCTTAGATCCAAATATTCTCCAAATGTCTCAACCATGAGGAATATAATTTTGTTTAGATATAAATCATATATCAGTGTGGTACCTGTAGAATGACAGGACCTGTGGCTGTCTGAAGTGCCTGTACCATGGCATTGGTTGCAGGTGGTGGTTGAGCAATGAGGGCTGTAGATTGGCGTGTTGCAGGAGACATCACAGACTTGCCTGTGCTTGGTGTGTTTGCTGTTAAAGCAGGGACCGGTGGAGGAGAGCTGAGGAGCATTCAAACCAACACATACTTATTCACCACAAAAAAGTGCAAATGGTTTTTCAAGCCAAAGGAAAAAAATATTTTTATACATATCTGCAATTACGTGCAACGCATCTCTCACCCACTTCACCGGCTCTAAGACATACATGACACATTTCACACTTCTATTGGGTACCAATGGTCTCACTATTCTGAGTACACATTACCCTCTGATCCAGAAGTCCACATGACAATTAAAATATCTGGTTCCACCTTCTGGACTGTTAATTATTTCATCCTCCTTTTCAGTAAAATTACAAATTTCTCACACTGGGAAATTCACAAACCTTGCTGCATTTTAAACAGCAGGTGCATTACTAATTAAGAATCTTCAGACTCACTGCTGTAAAAACCTCAAATCTTACATATCTCCATACTGAGTTTGCTACCACAGTAACTCTCTCCTTTGAAGGTATCTGGTACTACCGGGTCTACAATTTATGCTGTAACGGCCTTGCTTGCATTGCGTGCTCGGCTGAGTGCACTGTTGGTGTGGGATAGAGATAGCGTGTTATTCCCGTGAGTCACAGGCGAATCAGTTTCATTGCGTCTCTCGTCGCGGATTGACGTTGATAATATGGTGTACAGTATTAAGCAACGTGTGTTCTTAGTCGAAACATATGCCAAATATTCATCCTACGGAAGATGCCGCCGTAAATATCGCAGACATTTTCCCGGTGAAAGTGTTCCTAGCAGGCCCACGATAGAGAGATTAATAAAAAAAATTTGTAGTACGGGATCAGTTTTGGATAAAAAGAAGAACAGGAAACCACAATTCATTTCGGCAATTTCCCAAGAAGAGCTTCGTCAAGTATTTCGAAACATGTTAACGAGATGTGAAGCTTGCCTGCAAGCACAAGGAAGTCACTTTGAACATCTTTTGTGATTTAAGGTAAGAAAATTAATGTAATAACATGTGTTAGTGACGAGAAATATTCGTAGTTCGCTGTTACTAGCGGCACTGAAACTGATTCGCCTGTGACTCACGGGAAGAACACGCTATCTCTATCCCACACCAACAGTGCACTCGGCCGAGCACGCAATGCAAGCAAGGCCACCCGGTACAATATAAAATAAACTACGTCTGTCTGCACTGAAGTTCTGAAAGGGTATATATTCTTCAAACAGATGAGGTAATTAAGTTGCTTCCCACACATCAACTCCTATCACAGCTACACTTTTCAATTACCACATATTTATTTCACTTAAGTTTCTTTTAAAGAACTGTAACCATCTTCTCAAAGCAAAATCTGGTTGTAAAACAGGCTTACATGCTTACATATATTATGATACAAGCAAATTCTCAAAACCAACACTGTGCACTCATAATTCCATACACACACAACACACAAAATGTATTTCAAATTGCTGTTTGTAATCTCAAAAAATTATGAAATGGTGTCACCTATGCAGACATAAAACCTGGTGTACACAAATAATACTGCACCCATTATTCATTCACACAATACAGACAGAAATGACCTGAGATGCATGAATAACGATGATGGTAATAATAATACACATGTTATTCATTTGACCAACATACAAACAACCTGGTACACATAAATAACAATGCACCTGTTACTCATCTGCACACCATACATGGAAACATGAAACTTATAAACAAAAATGCACTGGCTATTAATTTTCACAACACAGACTGAAATAACCTGATACACAAAAATAATACTGCACCTGTTATTCATTTGAACAACATAGACTGAATCTGATTTCTCAATTATCTCTGCACCAAGATTCTTCATCATCTGCTCCAACTTGGCTGTCACCTCCTTGTACTCTTTCTCCCCCTTGTTGTATGCTGCAGCTTGCTCTGGCGTAAGTGCCTCATCATGGCACTCCATCTGCAGACCAATGTCCGGTGGCTTCTTGCCATAGTTACGGCCAGATCGACTCATTCTTCCAATGGTGCCTTAATAAAGCTGTAAACAAGCAAAATACATATAGATGGCTGTCTTCTGGGTTGTAGCACCATGCAGTCTGGTAGAAGTGTCTCCATCATCAGGCTGACTGCCCTCATGACAGATACAGTAAGGGCCTTCAAAACGTCAGTAAACTTCTAACAGACTACAACCAAGAAGACAGCCATCTTCAGACTTACCAACTTCAAAACCTCAAATCCTACAAAATAGATATGCACCATGGTATCCAATATGACCTTGTCTAACCAGATGTGAAGAATCATCTTAAAACTGATAACATTATAAACAATACTAAACAAACTGTGTAGCAATACAATATGTAAGGTTTCTATTCAATAAGTACAGATTGAATGTCAGTTCAGTTACCAGCTGTCTTGACTAAGACATCATGGTTTCCCTCAGTCTCTCAAAGTTATAGCTGGAGCTGTAGTGATCTACAGCACCCATTTTTTTCTGAGCATTATCCTGAAACATAGTCTGCTCAACATTGTCTTCTTTGCCATATTCATTCCCCCTACAACGACATCACCTGGAACTCCAAGCAGATGCTTACTAATGGTTCTTTCTCAAATACAGCTTGTATAGAACAGGTAAAATAATGGAACCCTATGCCATTCACATACTAAAATTGTTCATCATAGAAACCTGTCTGTGCATGTGAACTTCAACGTTCAAGTACACAGGCACAGATAACGCAACCATGGCTGAAACCTCAACTTAGGCCAGTAGGCATAAAGCCAAGTAACCCAATTTAGATCATATACCAACCCTTGTGCAATTAACATCCAGTAGAGTAGAGTTTATTTACACTCCATAGATCCTTCTTAGGACTCAACCAAAGGATGTAGAACATGTCATTTCATACAATATACATGCACTTCAGAACTTTCAACACACGTACAAGAACGTATTTCACATATCAATGTACATAAATTTCAGATTCTGCAATACAAGTATGAAAAATAATTTACAAATTAATATACATAAACCTCAAAATTTTAAATATAAATACAAAACTTGTTTTACATATATGTAGATTATGGATATAAAGCTTAAACATTTTCAGCAGAGATGAAATCATCTACAGAATAGAAGGAGTGAGTAAAGAGGTAATCTTTCAATGCAGGCTTGAATACCTTTATATCATAATTTAGACTTTTAATTGTTGGTGGAAGATTATTAAATAACTTGATACCTGTATAGTACACTTCTTTCTGATATTTAGTAAAGTTAGCATTTGACACATATAGATCATGTTTACATGTACACATTGCTATTATTTAAATTAGTACAATGCAATATAACGCTTCAATGAATATAACAGCCTGAAGAATACACATCTCACTTTTGAAGAAATGCAATTTTGAACAATATAAAGTTAGGTTATGTGTGGCTAACCTTTCATTGAAGTCCCTTCTCTGGCTGACATATATATTCCGCATGTTTGTGTAATGCTTAAATGTAACAATTTTCTAAACTCGTAGTTTTTCGCTATTCTAACACTAATATATGACCCAGGCAAATAATTTAACCTGAACACCACATTGGGCAACATTTTGCTTTTACTTTGCCAGGACCGGTCTAATGTCACGTGTCCCGCTGCGCGTTTGTCATTGTCAATTTTGTAAAGTTTATTGGTGGGAGGGTGTTCATACTCGCCAAAGAGTGAAAATCAACTCTCTCAAAAAAGGTGGACCAAAATATTGCTAAATAATCGCGTACATTTGAAATCTTGGCGATCATAATTTCTGTGCTTTAGGCCTCCCGCCAAGTTGTACAACTCGGATTATCGCATCGGGTCTAGTGAGACAAATTCGTATTATTAAAAATTTCTACTTTCTGCCTTCTATTATTTAGGTAGGATTTAAACCATTGTCCTACTATACCTCAAATTCCATAAAATTTCAGTTTCATTAGTAATATTTCATGGTTTACACAATCAAATGCCTTGGCTAGGTCACAAGATATTCCACCCACATGCATTTTATTGTTAAGGGCACATACAATTTCATTAGTGAAACTAAATAGAGCCTTTTCTGTTGGGAGATTTTTTATAAATCCAAATTGCTCCTTGACAAGGATGTTGTTTGAGTTTAAGAATTTATTTACTCTCTTGCATATAACTTTCTCAAAAATTTTAGAAAATGTTGTCAGCAGTGAAATAGATCTGTAGTTAGAGATGCAGGATTTTTCACCCTTTTTATATAGTGGTTTTACTTTTGAATATTTAAGTCTTTCAGGAAACATGGCATTACATAAAGTATAGTTTTATAAAGTGTGACATATATGCCATCATCTTATGAATTGTATGATTTGATATGAATTAACGTGTTTACCACTGATGATGACCTCTTGAGGTCGAAATGCATTTGGCACTAAGAGTCTTTTCAAAGTGTAAACAGTTTTGTTTGTAAACATGATTTTATATATGAAATAAGTAAAGGACAATATCACACAGCAGTGCCTGAGGATGTTGGAATACTTCAAACATATCATTTTTATAACAAGAAAAATTACAGCTGTGTGTCTGACCATTTTTAGCTGATTGACAGGTACCATCCACATGTATAACATGGAAATCATGCTAGAAGAGGAGAAATAAATAGGTCATGTACATAAATACAAACAATTTGGCTATTAGGATACACCTGGAACACAAAATTAATCCAATACATGACACTCACTGATAGGATGACATATCAAAGAAAAGTTTTATGATAAAGGCATTAAAAATACCTACAAATAACAGTTTTTGTGACAATCCAATGTTTCATCAAACTGGCTAAAATAATATAATTATAACTTTCAAGTTATCAAGTAAGGGCTGTTCACTTGAAATTCACAACAGGGGTGGACAAAATATTTCAGACCTGAATTAATACAGGGCTGACCAAAGACCCCACAACTAAAGTAAATGTAACATCATAGAACACAAGCAATCTATCTAATCATCTGTATCAACAAATGAAAAATCATTTATGCAAACACTTGAATGGGTTCTGATATACGCAAATAAAATTCTATGAAAATGTATATAATACAAATTAAATTCAAACAATGAAATTGTTATCGTCATAATGGCCAATTGGCGAATTCTGGTCTGAGCTTTTCAATCTCGACAATTTACATTTAGATGAAACCATCAACCTGCCTTGACTGCACATAAACTCTAAATGATGGAAGTGACCAAATGGCCAATTTTCTTAGGATTAATTATTAGAAACTGTATGAGTCATTGGACGTAAATAATTTTACACTTGCATATGTTAATCCTGTATAAATTTCAAAAACACAAAAGAATGGATGGTTTGAAAATATAACTGCAAACCTCATTAACAAAAACAAATTTACCAAGCCACATCGTGTTATAACATTGCAAAGAGAGCTGATATCTTACGTTAGACATTTTTAAAGCATTTTACTGATTATTCGCTTACTTAGCGTTACACAATAAGTTAATTTGAATCTTGGAACTGGCAATAACTTACATATACTTGGCGCAAATACCGAAGAGCTGTATTCAAGCTGCTATCCGAGCTTCCGCAACAGAAAATTCTCCACAAATATGTGACAACAATTTACAAACTTCACCTAAACACCTGTCGAGGTTACGACTTTCAAAACTTCACAAATCTTGAGATAATTTCACTAAAATTGATGAACTATTCAACACCAAAACACTTTTAGACAAGATGGCTGCATGAACATCACACATGACCCCCAGAATAACCAATGGAAACTCGTATCTTAACCCGGGAAAGGTACGTCAGGGTACTACGTTAGTCAAATACAAATAGTCCGACCGATATGAACAAAATCATTACATTGCAACTTCCAGTTTTCACCTGCATGTCACTCAAATTAACACCCGCCTCTGTTACCACCGTATTCTCCATTATTACTTATTGAGAGTTAGGTACAAGAAATGTAAATATTCCCGCCCCGAAATATTCATACTCACAACTTTTTTTAAAACTATATATCCTCCATTATCAATTGGATACCTTTGCACGTACACTACAGTGTTACATGAGTGTCAGAGGATCATATATCAAGTAATAATGAACGCATAATAAAACGTAATATGTTTTTGAAAGCTGCTATAATTTAAAAATTAAAGAATACTTCAGTGCGGATTGATACGTATATATATATATATATATTTGACGTCCAGCATACCGTAACGTCATATCCGATTACAAATGGCTGCCTAGTGACGTCATTGTCACACGCTCGTCATTATGCTCATACTGTACAGATGCTTCGTCTTTAGGTTTTCGGCACTGGAATTACTAGAATGAATGTGTAAAGGGAGAATTTCAACACATTTCTTCGCTGTTGTAGCAGGGAAAGAAGACAATTTTAGACCAACGCTCTTCATAAGCCAATAGGAAACATTACGTAATTAAAAATAATTCGGATACTGCCAAACCATATTTAAATGCCGTCAGAACATTCATGGTTACGCAAAGGTTGGTATGAAACTGTTAAACATAGAAACGCAAAAGTAACTGGGAACTACATAGGATGAACCGGTTGAACAAACAAGACTTTACTGCCGTAACGTTGCCTACTCGCGACATGTCGAACCTACCTTCGTCGATTAGCAGGGTCTAATTTTCTCCCCATTGGTGGATGTAATGCTTTTGCTCTGTTTATCCATGAAGCTAAGTAGGCTAACGGATTGGGTTGTACTGATGAAGTTGATTAAGATATTTTCCAAGAATTCCTCCTTCAAAATAATCATCAATTGGGATTTGCATTGAAGCTGTCATCGATTTAAATGAACAGGTCACAAATTTTAACAATTCCGATTGACTGAACGAGAACCTAATCGCTGAAATAAAGTAAAACTGTAAGCTTATGAGGGGGAAAGGATGTATAGCTCTCATTTTTAACCTTGCGCTGGGTGGGGGAGAGTGGTTAGCGTCACGCCCCGCGCCTTACCCCGAGAAAGGACCCGTAGGAGACTGGGTGGGTCCCGAGACGGTTGGACGCAGAGGCTAAAGATTTAATCGTTGAAGCCAACTGTAATATCATGAACGAATGTGGAGATTTTAATACATTTTGACAGGAAATCGTGTCAGGAATGTCAATATGGCGCTGTAAATTTTCCATGTTTGGAGTTAATGGTATTGTTGAGCGAAATGTAATATTTGTTCCATTTACCATGAGGTTCAGGAACTTGTATAAATTTGCATATGTTGTTTCATTACCCTGATTTGTACTCATATTATTGGCATGTCAAATTTAGGATGAGATGGGTAGGACATGTTAGTGCATATACACAAGTATGAGGAACCTAAAGAAATTATGAGAAACACAAACCCAGTTTTGAGCAGAATACCTGACGTAAGAGACAACTTGGGAGCATGTGTCCAATTAATTAAAAAAAAAGGGATGTACATTATACACTATAAATTCAGTTTGCATAAAAGGCAAGCAAAGTGTTCTCTAGCTTGATTTTCTAAGCACCTATTAGCTTGCAATGAACTGCTCCACAAAATGTTTTGTGATGCTACAGTCCTCATTGACCTTGATACTCATTCACTGCAGATACACATCTTCAGGCCACAGTCTATGCAAACTGTCCTTGACATCATGGGTGATATTAAATGTGGTTAATATATATATAAAACATAAAAAAACAAAGGAACATGAAACACTCATTCACACTCCAATATAATCTTATGCAGTGAGTGTTTCACACCTGGTCTGTCCTTCAGTCCTAATTCCAACCTCTGCAGAGTTGTGGCAGTTTCAAGTAGCAAGCAGGCAAAACAGAGGTATTATGTAATCATAAGCATTTACTGCTATATTATGACATCTGATAACTGTTCAGTGTCTGCCAGTTTTCGGCATACTGCCCTGCTTGATTCAAATAAGAATTTACTGCCCGTTGAAACATTTTGGCATGTATTCATATATAAGCAGCAGTATCCACAATCTGATGCTGGAGTTACTCTCATGTGTACTTCAGTCTTGTAGGTAATCATACCTTTAATTGGACCACATAAAAATAAATGTAGTGGGGTTGGGCATGGAGACCTTCACCTTTGGGGCAGAATGTAGCCACGATATTTCCCACTGTTGGTGCAAAAATGCACACAGATTTTCACGTAAAGTACCTGTTCAATTCTTGCACATGGACAGACATGGCAATCATAACAAACACATTTTTGGAACTTTTACCAAATTTTCAAGACAATGCATCTGTAACAATGGTTTAAATAATCTGAAACTAAAATAGCAGTACATTTACTTTTTTATTTCAGATAATTGCCATGTCTTGCTAGTAATTTAAAAGTAAAACCTAGTAAGTTCAAGTTACAACTTATTGCTCTTGTCCTGAACAACCATTAGATCTGCTGGTGTCAAAAATTTAAAAAGCAAAGAGACATAGTAAATAGCGGTGAAATTTTATTATTTATAATATGACAAATGAGAATTGCCACCTCCAAGCTTTACAGATGTACATATTAGGTATTTCATTGTTAAATTAATTTATATGTAAAAGGAATATTCAAAACAAAATACTGCAGCCAATAATTAATGCTTTTATGTTTAGAAAGATGAAGCAATTAAAATATTATGAAGTCATTGATCATTACATTTGATTGTGCTTTGCACCTTGGCGAATTACATGCTCATGCCATCACTTGGAGACCGAATATCATCAATCTTTAGAATCATTTTCACAAGCTGAGTTGCCAAAACAAACTGCTGCTTCTTGCTGTGTAGGGACTCAATAACATGCTGCTCTTTCATGTCTGGAAAAAAAGTAATCTTAAAAATTGCAGTAACATTTTGAAAATCATCAACTCTGAATGTGTCAACAACCATTGTATCATGAAAGAAAATGCAAATCCGTACTGTATATATTAGATTCAATTCTGAAGATGTAAATACATTGCTTATTCCATGCAGAAACTTTCATGTTATTTGACAATGATCATAACTTGCATCATCATTACAGTGAATATTTTTAGTTTCTGTAATTTACACATTGTAAAAATGTTCTGATATTGCCCAGTAATATACTATCTTATTTGCAGAGAACTTTGACAAAGGGCAAAGGGGAAGGAAAATGCATTTCCTGCAACTGACACTTCTTTGATTAATATAAAAAAACAGTAAATAAGGTATTCCACTGAATGTAGACACAATTTCAAGAACTGCAGGTGTTACAGCATGAAAAGGGACCTAAAAACTCAGCCACCATCATTTGTGTAGGTCTATGTAAACAAGAGAACTAAACTGAAGCAGCTGAAATGAGATTCCAATGGATTCCTGCAGTTTATAGATCAGAAACCAAGCAATTAGGCAAGGACTAAATATATACAACATTTGAACTTAACTTGTAGCCTGCAAGTACCTGATGTCACAACGGCCAAAGTGTCTTAAATGTCAAAGCTACAATGCCCATAATCTAGCAAAAACTACAAAAAACAAGACATAATGGGATGTGTTGTAGCAATATTAATATCAATCTGTACACACCACTGGTTCCCTTCAGCATGCAGTCAATACCAAGAGCAGGATTTCTTTCCTTCACTTGGCGAGCCTTCACTTCGGTTAATGTGTGGATTGGTGACAGACCAGAGTTCTCTGCCAGTGCCAATGGCACACTCTCCAGTGCATCAGAAAAGGCACGGAAAGCATACTGCTCCAGGGATGAAATCTGATAAATATATGAATACATCATGTACTTTTTAAAAGACAGACCAACTGCTAGCCAAACAATATTAAACTTCATGTAAATTGAATATATCCCAGGGAATAAAGAACATGAATGAAAGTTATAAGAAATTCTGTGAAAGGATACCAAGTCTTAATTTTAGACAAATGTAATAAAAAATGTCAGGAATAGAGTCTATGAGATTTCACAAGTTTCACATCAACTACATTATGAAGGGAGTTTCAGATATGGGAGACTATACTGGTAGGGAAGAAAGTAGCAGAATTTATTTTATTTTGCCAAGAAGCTAGAACCTGAGCTGGGTTTAAATCTGAGTGCACTGAATGCAATTTTATATCTGGCTGATGAGACTTGGAGGTGACTACTTTCTCTGACATTTACTCCACCAGAGCATCATGCATTGCAACTTACCTTGTCAGCCTCCTGGGAAGTTGCAATGGCACATGCAATTTCTGCTGCTCCACCACCATACACCACTCTGTTATCCTGTACCAAGTTGCGTACCACACAAACAGCATCATGGATACTTCGCTTGGCTTCCTCAATAATCTGTTATGCATAAATGATTACAATGCCACTACATAAATAAATAAAACATTAAAATTTAACATGCTGAAGTAGGAAAGTCACAAAATACAAAACTGTACTATAATTTTACCCCTGTATGAATCAATGTGAATCCTAGTTTTGGGTGATGGCACTGTGTAATGTTACTGGACTGCCAGCATTTCAAAGATTCTTACAGATGCCATCTTCAAGGTGAAATGACTACTACACAACCTCTAGAAGGAAGAGACTGGCCAATTTAAATTTAATAGCTGGTGTCCACCTTGCAATAGAGACACAAATCTGTAAAGTAAAATTTCATTATAATGGGGTTTAAATCCAATAGAACTAGACAAGTAATATATTTCAAGGAATAAACTAGTTTTTCATTTACCATCTTATTTCCTCCTCGAATAAAAATAGTGACAGCCCGTGAATTCTTGCATTCTTCAATGACAAGCATACGATCCTTAGTGGTTCCAAACTGAAGTTCTCGTACAAGACCAGCATGTCCAAGCTTGTCTGCGGAAAGTTCCTCAAACCGGGGAACTATCCTACCCCCTGTAGCAATAGCAATCAACTGCAACAGAGTTGAAATGTG